ATCACATGTTAGTGTGGCTGTGAGGAACTTCTGCTACAAATTATAAATCAAGGATAACATTTTCTTATAGTCCAAATTGTAATAAAAATGTCCAAGACAAGATTTAAAGGTCTAAAGTTCATCTTCTGAACTGTTGTCTAAATCAGTGGTCCCCAAACTTTCTAGTTTAGATAGATAAACTTTATTTCATTTTTTTACTGTGGGCACATTGGCACACATTAAAAATTTAGTTGCTTGCTCTCAAAGCATACACATACATAACACACATTTAAACATGCTATGTACAACATTGTATAAACCTAAACCCTTACATATAAATAACATATAAATATTAATCACTGCCCATCTTGAATACATAGCAGAAAGAAGAAACGAGAGTTCACAAGATTGATGCTATATGGAACAAAACTGTGACTGAAAACAGGTCATGAAGAGGATGTTTAGTGTTCCAGATGGAAGGAAGGGAACTGCCAATAATCTTTTCTGCCAACCTTACCACTCTCTGCACCTGTCTGAAGCAGTGATGCTTTCAAACCAGACTGTAATGCTGTATGACAGGATGCTCTCGATTGTCCCTCTGTAGAAAGTGGTAAGGTCAGGGAAAGGAAAATGTGCTTTTCTCATGCAATGCAGAAAATCCAGGCACTGCTGTGCCCGCTTCACCAGTGTCTTGCTGTTGAGCAACCAAGCCATAGGTGAATCATTAATGCACAGAGGAGTGTGGCTGTGCATTCCTTTTCTGAAATTGACAATAATCTCTTTACTTTTTCCAATGTTTAAAACTAGGCTGTTTTTCTTACACCAGTTCATCAAACCCTCAACCTCCTTTATGGTAAGCACCCTCACTGTCATGTAAACACCGTCATTGTCATTTGTGGACTGGGGGGGGGGGAGGAAATAGTTCCATGCAAGGAACAGGTGTGGGTGTATGAAATAGTGCCCACCATTAGTGCAAATGGAGTGCATGTGCACACTTGTCGACTGCTTATATGGCCTGGTTCTGAGCAGACCATGGCCTGGCAGTGGGCCACTCCCTGGGGGTTAGGACTCCTGGTCTAAATACTTAACTATGGATTTGCATAGTATTAACTATTGCATAGCATCTACATCAGTTTTGTCCAATTCTTAATAACTGCATATATTTCATTATTCATTTGGAATGTCTATAGCTCATAAGTGAAATTTTATTTTACTTTGTAAAAAATTGCAAATTCCACAAAATTTCAATTATTTGGTGAAATGGATGACAAAAACCCTGAACTTTTTAAAGAGAAAATGAAACTGGGGCCAAAATGAATAAATATGTCTACCCCAGCAAATAAATTTAACATTTCATCTATGGCTGACTAGGGAATTCTGGGAACTGAACTCCACACCTCTTAAAGTTGCCAAGGTTGAGAAACATTGATATAAGATTAAAAAAAAATGAATAATGGATATTGGACTGGATGAAGATCAAGAAATAAAAAAATTCTATGATTAAATTTTCTATATGTTCAGGTGAATGGCAATCAAGCTATTTCAGAAGAAGCTAAAGCTCACAAGGTGACAATATCTCTGAACTGGGGGTAATCGTGTTCTAACAAGTTATAGGCCATATCAGACTTTCCTGGTATCCCTGGAAGAAATGTTAATCAAGTTTGGGTTTCTTTGTGTTTTGGGGTGAGTTTTTACAAGTGGGACAAGGAGGTGGATACCTGTGGAAAGCAAACCACTCCCATTTGTACTCAGAATTCCAAATCACGAAGTTAACTTTAAAATCATCTTGCAAAAGGAGGTCAGATTTCAGCAGCACAGATTTGGATCACTGTTTGGAATAATGGGCAGGGTTGGGACGCTGGGAAACTGGGCCTCCTATATTTATTTATTAAATTTGTTTGCTACCCATCTCATCACAAGGTGACTCTGGATGGCTCCACAAGGCAGCTTTATTGTATTTAGCATTCCCAGTGTAACTTTTGAAATAAAAATAAATAACTTCCTGATAAATTATGCTACTTTATAGCTAATAATTTCAACCACTTTACTGACACCTTTTGGTTATGAAATTCAGTACACTGGGGATATGTACATAGGATACTGTGGGCTCTTTGTGAGTTAAAAAAGACACCTTTTGTCAGTTTAGGTTGATGTACAAGTACAGCTATACTCAGAGCAATCTATTCCCTGTTAATATTTCTTCCAGATTATGATGAGATTGTCCTTGAAGTCATTCCATACATGTTAGTTTGTGCAAAATTTGGCAGCAAGATAGTGACTCCAATTGGATTCTGATCATATAATTCCTGTTTCATTGACCTTCATTAGCTTCCAGTTCATTTCTGGTTTGAAATTAAGGTGATGGCATTTATCTAAATTCCTAAGAGCTAAGAACAGTTACAAATGTCCTACTAATATGTTTGTACATATTCAGAGGCCTCTGAATACCCTTCCTGTTTTATGTTTGATAAAAATTAATTTTTGTAATAATGTAATATATTTCATTGTTCAATCATCTCTCCATTGATCTCCAAATTCTCTGGCTTCCCATATTTCAGGGAAATCCAAAGAGAAGATGTTGTCCATTGGATTTGTTCAGTTGTAGTACTACAAAAGAGAGACCTGCCTGCAGAAACTAATGCCAAATTATTTTCTTGGATAATTTTAAAAAAAGTTTTATTTGTTACTTTATTTGTCTGCCCACAAAAGCTAATTATAATGTTTATTTGTTCAAGTATCCAACTGTATAACCAGTATTCATTTATCAAAATGTTGAAAAATGTTTTGAGGCAATGTCATCTGAAACTCTTACCAACTGTCCTATCAAAGTCACTGAAAAATGAAATTCTCAAATCTACAATTAAATTAAAATATTTTAATTAAAAAAGAAAGAAAATATTTTAAGATTAAAAGGTAAAGATGTGAAGAGGTAAACCTGAATCCTAAGTAGTTAATAAATTCTCAACTTTTCAATTAATTTAAAAATGATATGAGTGTCATTTGCAGAGATGGCGTCATGTGACTGCCCTGACATCTATATTCTTTGTGATAAATCTCCACCTACTCATTCAGCATTTCACATGATGTACAGTGTGAAATATAGTGTGAAATCAGCAATAAGTCATTCACATCTTAGCAGGCATAAGAGAATATCCTGTCCATTTTGAATTATTTGTCCTGCAGATTAATGCTAGTTTACCATTGGTTATCTTAGAAGGTATAAATTAAGGACAGAAAATTGATTAGGGTATCATTTATCTTTATTGTTTCAGATAAAGACCAGCAGATTAAAAACCAATTCTCTGTTTACATAAATGTAAATTCCATTCTGCACAAAAAAACTTAGTAAATATCCATAGAACTGCAGAATCTGGTTTCACTCTCTAAAACTCATATGAATTTTAGAAGATCGAAAGCTATTTTAGACCTGAACAAATTAACTGTTTAAGTAAACTAGGGATACTTATTCTGTCTGGAAGTGGCTTTTTGATGATTCAAGCAGAAGTTTTTTTTAATGTAACCAGTGGCTTAACATTTCTGACTGACAATATCAGAAACTAAACCGATTTTTGGCACACAAATCTGGTTTCTTCTCTATGCAGGTTAAATTTTTAGCTAAATTTACATGACATGCTATATTTTGAATAAGATGAATGTACAATTTTTTGAACAAACCCAAAAAGCATTATTCACACATATTACTATATTGTAAACCATTGTTTGATATCACTATTTTATATCAATGAAGATTCTCAGTCATTCAGGTCATAGTTGTCCCAAATATGTTTTTTTTTTTTTTTTTTTTTTTTTGTGAGGCAACTGGACTTTCTTGTTTTTCTTTGAAGACATTTCACTTCTCATACAAGAAGCTTCTTCAGCTCTGACTGGATGGTGGGGAATGACCTCAATGACTCTTTAAAAGAATGCAAATGACCAGCTGTCTGTAAGGAGTATAAAAATCCTTCCATTACCCATCATCAAGTCAGAGCTGAAGAACTTCTTGGATGACAAGCAAACTGTTTTCAAAGAAAAACAAGCAAGTGCAGTTGCCTCACAAAAAAGCATCTTTGTGACACTATGTTTATGCTGACATAATCTGCTAGACAAAACCAGAGAAATAGAATTTAGTAAATTCAGATCTGAATGGCATGTCACACCAAGACAGTTTGCTGAAAAAGATGCAAGCCTTAAGCCATAAACCATCATTTACAGAAGACAACGGCTCCATTTATCAAAATGTGCTAAGTTAGAAAGAAACCATTGTTTAGCTTAGTGTAATTTATATGTCTTTATGTAAAGCTAAAAGATGTGCTTGAAAGTTAAAAACCAAAATACATGAATAATGAAGTCATGGGCTTATGTTATTATGATCATATTGCTTTATTTCAGTTATTATCTAGAAGTTACTATCATTTCTGCCAGTCACACCAATCAGTATAATGCAGTATTACAGTGTAAGAGAAATATTTGCATTATTGTCACAAATGTTATTGCCAACTAAATATTTCTGGGAAGACTATTAATTCTCTTCATTCATTTCCCTTGCAACAAATATTAAGCAGAAACTTCCTTCCTATACTGGAGACAATATTGTTGTTAGTATTCATAATCACTATGAATTTCTCAATTCTGTAATGACGCAACTTCTCATATACGCTTATTTTGGGAAGATAACTGTGCAGCATTCAGCCTTTAATTTTCAGTTACTCTGCATATTAGATGTCCTTCTCTCCAAAATTAGATTATCCAGTTGACAGTACAGATCTATACAGAAAAAAGGTGAATAGTACCCTGGTTTGCTAATATACTGCCACATAAGAAGGCTGAAGGAGATATGGGAAATGAAAACTAGCCATTCTTTCTCAATTTGGATTTCCTTAGCAGGAAAAAATGGATGCAAATCAGGGCCTTATTATACATTTCTCAGATAATTCCCCAAGAATTATCACAATGGAATTCTTCATTACAATAGTTAGTAGTTTTCCAAAATTCTGCTCCCATTTCCAAACACGATTTCTTACCTTGAACAATCAAATAAACTTGAGAAGTCTTGGGATGGTGCAGTGTTTGGACTGAACATGTATATGACCCTTCATCATAGATATCCACTTTCTGGATCCGAAGGCTGTATTCCAGAAGAGAAAGCTGCTGGAGTTCTACTCGGGGGTCCAGAGACCACTTGTCCTGACCCGCAAAAATGATACCAGAACGATTTAACCAGGCCACCTTGGAGCTTTTGTCTTCTATAAAACACCTGTATGAGATGACAAAATGAAATATTGGTGTCTATAAAGTTCCTGCATTTGGAATGTAAAGCAAGCATGGAAATCTCTCTTATGGTCCCATCACATCAATAATGCATGTATTGTAATAGCACATATCTAGAAGACATTTGAATTTTTCAGAATAGCTTGTATCTCTTCCCCGTCATCCATAATCAGTAAAATTCCAACTATTCTCATCTATTCATCTAGCCATAGAATTAGGATAAATGTTGCAGTATGTGCCAAATGAAGAATATTAATCTAGGAATTAAATCTGAAACTATTTATAATGATCAATTCCTAAACTAATAAGAATTTTTAAAAAATGGTTTTATAAGTAGTTACTGCCAAGTCCTTTGTTATCACTGAAGAGACCTACCAGTTTATGGTTTTCTTGAAAGAAAAAAAATGAGGAAGTCCTTCCCTCCAATTATATGTTGGTGATATACTGCTTACTTATTGAGAAATACTTCAGTTGCTAGAGTCTTGTAACATCTCTCTTCTTAATAAATCTTCCTAAAGAGAATTTGATAGTCATGCCTGAAAAGGGAATTTATCTTTAATTTTGATGAAGGCCAAGGCCCTACAGTAATCCAACTGAACTGTTCTATCAATTTGCTATCACAAGGGCTCCTATAGTTTTATTGTTAATTGTGGACAGTTATTTAATTTAGGTTTACTGATTTATATTTATTTGTCATAATGAATTAAATTCACAATTTGTAAGTTTTCTGTAATATAGTGATCTGAAAAATCTGTTTTCCATAATATGTGAATGACTTCTCCACTAGCCCTTTATTCTTAATCCAGGCTGTAAAGACTTTATTCTTAATCCAGGCTGAAAGGAACTCTGGAACAGTTATACAAAAATACAGTACAATTTACCACTTAACTATGCCATGTTAATGTCAATACTAAGCAGATATTTATAGGCAGAAAGATGAACAGAAAACCTTTGCAAGCACCATAATTTATTTAATCCTTTTATATGAAAGCATAAAGCAGCTCTTATAAATTTGGAAGATCCAGTTATATCTCAATTAATAAGGAATCTGGAGTAACCGTGACTTCACCAAATTTGAAAGGAACATATCATTGTTTAGTTGAGACAACATAAAAGAGACAGTGGTGGATGACAGTGATGACATTAAAAGGAACTTGAGTTATTTTGATTCCAAAGTGTTAAAATATATTTTGGCTACTGTCTACATGGAAAAACCTGTATAAAAACCATACAATGCAATTTAGAGTGCTCATAAGTATAAATAAGTACTGGTAGTCTCAATTTAACAACCATTTAGTGAATGTTCAAAATTAAAATGGCAGTGAAAAAAAAGTGACTTATGGCTGGTCCTTGAAGTTATGACAGTTTCAGCATCCCAGAGTCATGTGATCTGTAATGTGCAATTTTCCCAGCCATTTTCTGACAGGTAAAATTTTAATGGGGGAAGTTGGATTCAATTAACCATGTGATTCATTTAACAACCAAGGCAAAAACAATCATAAAATTAGGTGTAACTCATAACTGCCTTGCTTAGCAATGAAATTCTGGTCCCACTTGTGGTTATAGGTTGAAGACTAACTGTAAAATGATATATTTTGATACATATATCTATTGTTCCTTAATTAGAAAATTGGCAAACAAGAGCCTAATGGATATTCTAGCCCAAATCAGCTGCTGGAGGATGTGGAGATATTTGGAATTCTGTCTACTAGGAAAATAATGTATTTCCAAGTTGCTTCTATTCTTCAGTATACATTTTAATTATTTGTTGTGAAGCAGACACTCGAAAATAAAATAACATGAAATAATGATAATTACAGTTTTCTGCCTTATCCATTAATACACTGTCATTGTGGCAGCTTCTTTAACTTTCTAACTTTAATTTAGCACCAGCTGTGGATAGGCAATGCACAGAAATAATCTGCATGCTTCCCAGAAGACTAACGATCAACACTACAAAATATGAAAAGCAAGGATCTTAACACTGCATTGCACTTGTATGAAAACACTCTAGGCAATTTGGGCAAAGCATGTGATGTCCCAAATGGTCTATGAATAATGCTGGCCATGATTGCAGTTTTATTGGACTTAGTCTAGTATGAATAAATATGAAATTATCACCACCAGAATTTAGAAGTGATATGCATATCATTTGTAAAAACTTGCTGAAGAAAAAAAGACTCTACCAAGTCTCATATTTTTATGATTCTTTCATTCATTGCTAATCAAGCTGAAGATAAAGAACATTTATTTCAGTCAACAGGAACCACATTAATGTTATTAGATTACATAACTTGAAAGCACTAGACCTGGTAATTAGGTTGTTTTTAACTGATTACTGCCCTCCCACCCCCCATACCCAGAAGGATGCACTAATAATGAAGCTAAAGCTTAGATATTTTGGATACATATTATGAAGGCAGGAGTCAATTTGAGAAGACCCTGATTCTTTGAAAACGAAGGTAGTATAAAACATCATCACAGAAAATAATGGTCAAATTATGTCACTAATGATACAACATGAGCTCATAACAATGCAGTTTCTTACAGACAAAATAAAATCCCCCAAGGGACCTTCAATTTTTTGCTACTTTTACTAGCTTTACACAACTAATAGTCCTGTTTATTTTAGGAAGAAAATACCCATGCACTCCCTCAGGTCACTTCCCTTTCCATCCATTCCAGAGGCAAAAGCTTCTCCTAACCCAAATACAAAGTTATAAAAATCTGTATAACTTATGTAGACTGAAATCAACAACGTACATCTCCCCAGCCACTACCAACCAGTCATTCATGAAGCAAAATCAAAGACATGAAAATCCCTAATCACAATATTGGTCCCCAGTGCCAGATCCCTAATGCCCCAATCCCCAATGTAAGTACATAATGGCTTTAATAGAAACTTTTTTTGTAAGTATATTATCTCTGAAGGTAGATATGTTAAAGAGCCATTTAAAATAATAATTCTCAAATCCCTTATCATGCATGAGTCAATAACCACTTTGACATGACCAGCTGTGGTGACCTTCTGACAGACTTGTCCCTAAATTCCTATTTAGCAGATGCACATTGCAGTCCCAACATTTATGAAGGTATCAGGGTGGGAAAGTCTAGTTTTTGCTTTTAAAAACATTAAATAAAAGCCACATGATAGCAAATACATTTTGTGATGTTCCAGTCCTGACCTTTGCTTGATAAATAATTCTCTATTCTTCAGGACTCAATAGATGTTTCTGCAGTGCTTAGGACTAAACCCTTGTCGAGCTCATTCTGGATAAGACCAATCTCACAGCTTTAAAGCAGAGATCCCGCAACAGTTTTGCCTCTGATATCATGGATAAAATAAGTAGGTCATCTCTGAAGAAAGCTTGGTCTTAGCAGGGTTATTTATGGCTGTTCAAAGGCTAGTGAAAAAAAAAAACTCCAAATCTTCTAATCATGTTTTTGCTTGCTGCACATGTTTCTTGCTTCCTTTTCTATGGCTGAGCCTTTATCTTTTGGAACAGGAAAAAATTGGTCACTAAAAAGACATTAACATCCATGCCTATTACTTTTAATTTTTTTGTTTGCTATATCTGGTAAAGATTTTCCTAGTTCAAAAAATAGCTTCCATTATTTCTAACAACAGAATAAGAAGCAACATCTTACTTGCTCTGTATTTCTCATCCTGTATAACTAAATGAAAATCTCTAATTCCCAAGGCTGTTGACCCATCACCTTTAGTCATCTCTGTTCACACCAGTGAATTTTGAGAGAGAAAGAATAAAGACCGGAGCCTAAAGATAAGAATTTTTTTCCGCAACAAATGGTTTTTTACGGGAAAAGTCAGACATTTACAGTATTCCTTAGATGGAATATAGGTATGATCTATCTGCTGAGATCACAGATCTCTGCTAAACCATGTTCAAACTTTAATCTGTTGATTTTTTGGGGCAAAGAAGCTGGCATTTCCTTTATTTTGTTATTCAGTGTTGTTCTTTCTGGTCAGTATGTTTGAAAGACTGTAAGGGAGCCTAGTATCCTACTTAAGAGAGGACAATCCTTTATTTCAAACTGTTGAAGTATGTCCATCTATTTGAATATATTCTCTTACATGAAGAACTGTGCAATCGTTTGGTTTAATCCAGTTCAAAGTGCAAAATGTTGTCATTTAAATGATAGAACTCATGTACTTAAGAAGAAGCAAACACAGAGATCAGATTCCCTAGCCAGTCTTTCCAAATACAGTAAACCATTTTGAAATGCATAATTTAGTATAAAGTTTACCTACTAACCTTCCTTTCGTAATGCATTTTTTCTGTTTAGGATTAAATGTAAATATCTGTTCTGATGAACAATTGAAGAGTATTAGGAATAATATTAGAAATAATAACTTATGGTATTCAAGGTAGCTTTATGTGCAGCTGTCTAATTTCAAACACCTTTGGATAAGGTCGGATCTCCAATCCAAAGTATTTTTTTTTCCTTCCTTGTGATGTAAGAAAAAAAGAGCTGCCATAAAGAGAGTAAGAGGATGGGGTGGGGGTCCTACTCTTTTCCATGGCTTCCTTACCTCTTATCTCCACTCCCTACTCTATTATTCAGACAGCAACTTTAGATATTCCAGTATTGTCTATCTTCATGCAATATAATTTTTCCATGGAAAAAATCATCTTTTTACAATTGCAAAATGTAAAGGACCAAAAAGGATGTATATTTTTAAGGATTTTTTTAAAAAAATGTTTTTGGATTCATGCATGACTATGTACATAGTACATTTTAGATAGATTGTGCAGTAAGTAAAATAGAATTTCATTAGCCAAATAGCAGAAAAACCAATTGCTTGACATGAAATGACAAAAACATAAACTTCATATATAACACTGGGCATTGTAATATAAACTAATAATAATTTGTCTAAAAATTCTCAGACAGAGAATAACAAGTGTTAATTCAATAACAAGTATTAATAGAATATTAAGTAGCTGAAATATGCCAATATATAGT